TTAATAGCAAGTTTATGTTTTCTTAAAAGAGACCAGTGTGTTTATATACAATTTCCATGTCCTAAACTCAATGTAAACAATGGACAGAATTGGTTTCATCGCCTGATGGAAACTAGCAGCAAAGCAGTCGAATCTTCGTGAGACAGACAGATAACATCGATCTATCTAATTCCAAAAACACCGGACTTAAAGTATCGAGGTAAACATGTACCGATGCGAAAACAAAAAAATAATTAAGCGAAACAAAAAATAATAATAAAAAAAAAAAAAATAATAATAATGATAATATCGTTTATTCAAACCTCTAGCAGAAAATTCTGAATTACAGGTTTATAATATTAACAAGAATTATAGGATAAAAAAGGGGGAAAACTGTACAATATGCATTAAACTACATACAAGTAAAAAAAGCATGTACATAAAAATGATAATACTAAAATGTTAATAATGTCTATTATAAAAAAAACCAGTATGATTAAACTGGCAAGTATTTGACTGTCACAAAGTTCTTAAAACGATCGGTGGACTTTATTGAGTGATAGTGAGTTCGATTTGATCTTAAATTGTAACGGTCTGAAGATTTACGAACGTCGGCATACATTGCAGTATAAAGGGGGTTCTCATTATGAATACGACTTATAAAGGATTCACAGACAGGACTACGGCGTGCATCAAGGGTTTCAATACCGGCTAGCATTAGGGTATCTGAGTAGGAATGACCTGGCCAAATAATGGCGAGAGCACGCCTCTGCACTGACTCTAAGGTCTTAGATAAGTAGGACGGTAAATTGGCAAATGCAGTAGAGGCGTACTCAAGTATGGAACGTAGTAGGCAGCAATAGATGTAGACGATATCTTCTGCTGGGACAGAACTTCTCCTGAGCTGCCTTAAAGCAAACAACCGTCTGTTAAGCCTTCTTCAGCAGGTGGTCAACATGGTCCCCCAAGAAAGGTCATTAGACAAGTTGACGCCTAAGAGCTTGAACGACGAGACCTCGTCTATAACAGCGCCCCCCGATACGACCGGGGGAGCCTTGTAACTATTATACTGAAGGAAGTCAACAGTCATGCACTTACATTTAGTGGGATAAATAAAGTTATGGTCGCTAATCGTGACGTTGAGAACCTGGAACATCAAATCTGACAATTGATAGAAGGTAAGTCATAACGTCTATTTCAATGATCAAGCAAAACAAGTCAAAAATCTCTTAAAAAAATGGGGCGAGATCGAGATCCGAGCGTGAAAAGGGGCGGAAAGCGGGATTTCAGAACCCCTATTGCGGACCCTCTAAGATCTGAAGCAGCTCAGAACGCCACAGCTGGGATGATTTCCCAGATTAGGAAACTTGAAGACATTACACCGGGGAGGTTGTCTGCACCTTTTTAATTTGGTGATTAGTTGCGCCACATGAGTTCGCTTCCAGTTAACTCAAATAAGGTGCCGTTCTTAGTCTGTTACAATGCTAGTGATCTGGCTAAAACCGCAAAGCCGACCTCAGATAACTTTCCTTCAATATGCGGGAAAGAAACATCTGCCGTAAATATAAATCTATTTGTGAGAATACCGCTTCACAGACGCAGTATGGAAATTAATCGATCCGAGTAATGGGCTCTTCTCTGTAGGTGTGAGTTAAATTAAAGTATTTGACTGAAGGAGAGTTACGCTGAGCATGGATACTGGGCAAGAGGAGGGAGGGAGAGTGTATTAATCAAGAAGCGGTTGAAATAAAGAAATCTGATAGACATTTTAAACTGTTTGACAGTCAATTTTAGGGCTTGGCACTTGCGTTCAGGCAAGCCGGCGCAATTAAACCTTGCCCAACCCTAGTGGAATTATTGTAAATTATGTGACGTGAATCTTCGACTTGAGAGTCGAGATCTACGGTAGACAAGCGAACATGTGAATCCCGTATTAAATTTGTGTTCAATCAAGGGAAGTTTGTGGTATTTTAGTTTGTCGCAGTTCCGAACGGGGTCCTCTGGTTGGAAATAGGAAGTTTAGGAATTAAAAGACCCTCAAGAGGAAGATGTCTTTCGTCTTTTCATGAGCACTGGACAAAAAAGAAATAGAGCAACGATGAGGAATCGTACATCATAAAATCGGATTCCACGCCCCGATGCCTTACCAGTGAGCCACAGAAACTTTATGGCGACACGCGTCCTGTATACTGCTAGGATCGGCAATAATTGTAAAAAGAACAATTTTGTCGTGCCGTTACCATGGTAACCAGCCACGAACAATAGTCATTTCCCTTTGAACAGCTCTGTGTGGAAATGTGCCGAGGTCTCCTACATCCCAAAGTTCCTTCCCGGTTCCAGACTGTTTGTTTCTTTAAGGCCTTCAGGATGCTAATACAACCATTTTTCACAATGACCCACACGCGTCTGTGCGCACATTGAATATTTCTTTTATAGCGAGATAGATTTCGTCGAAGTTAAGAGGAAACAATCAAATTTGAAGAAAGGTATATCATGTGTGTGATTGATACTTCCCAATCTGGTCGTGCCATGTGCTTAGTAATCGCTCGTTGAGTGAGTGATTCTGAAGAAAGGAAGCCCTTGAAAATTGAAACGAGAAAATGATGGGTCAAGATCATTTCCTTTAAGTCACCCTGCAGGTGAATTTGAAGTTTACACATTGATCCACGTGCCAATCAATGCCTTATTGCTGACACTTAGTCCAGCGTAAACTGAGCGTTATACATGAAAGTCATAAATCTCCTCAGTATCGCTTAGCTACGGATCCCGGAAAGGGCCATTATCAAACAAGATTATTTGACGAGTTATTTGACGAGTTATGTGACGAGTTATTTGACGAGTTATTTGACGAGTTATTTGACGAGTTATTTGACGAGTTATTTGACGAGTTATCTGACGAGTTATCTGACAAGTTATTTGACGAGTTATTTGACGAGTCATGTGACGAGTTACGCGACGAGTTGTTTGACGAGTTATTTGACGAGTTATTTGACGAGTTATTTGACGAGATATTTGACGAGTTATTTGACGAGTTATTTGACGAGTTATTTGACGAGTTATTTGACGAGTTATTTGACGAGTTATTTGACGAGTTATTTGACGAGTTATTTGACGAGTTATTTGACGAGTTATTTGATGAGTTATTTGACGAGTTATTTGACGAGTTACGCGACGAGTTATTTGACGAGTTATTTGTCGAGTTACGTGACGAGTTATTTGACGAATTATTTGACGAGTTGTTGTAAAGCAAGAGCCTGGGTTATGTTTGTGTAGACGGG